GAGGTGTGATGCTAACATGTAGTCCAAGATCACCTTGTAATTATATTAGCAGTTGCAGTCAAGGTAGTAAGTCTGGGCTGCATATTACCTGGGCAGGGCTAGGACAGGGCAGGGTGGTGATGCGGTCAGGGCTGTGTGGACACCAATCTGTTCCTCCTGCTGGTATGTCCACACAGCCCTGCCTTTGTTGCTGCCCTGACCCACCTCAGCTCCATAAACTGCAGAGACACCAATATCACCAGCTCCACTCCAGCACATTCGCCACAATTGAATATTAGGCAGGTGGCTTTTAATGGCCTCTGGTACCTCCACGTCTCTGGCTGATGCATTGCCTTGTGTGTTGTGTGTCGGCAGGGCGATGATGACCTCATGACTGTGTGCATCGGTGAGATATTCCTGGAATTTGTCAATATGCTGCCTGCCTTCCAGACGTACTGCCTCCAGCAGTCATCTTCAGTGAACATGCTCAATGCACTGGAAAAAGAGAAGGAGTTACTCAGGTGAGGAGACCTCTTAATCTTGGGTTGGTAGCAGGACCATTCAGAGCTTGTATGAAGCCCAGCATGGAAGTCTTGTTCTTGACATGACACCATAAGTCCTGCAGGCCCCTGGTGGAGCCCCCCAGTCATCCTAGCCCTCCAAGGCCCAGGGCAAGTGTCCCCAGCTGTCCCTGCCCCCTTGCACAGGCCTGGTAGGGAGTATATGCCTGGGGGCACAGACTCCATATCTTTTCCTAAATGTACTGAGCATTTCTGGGTAGGTAATGTATTCAAGAGATTAAGTGTGTGTGTATTGGAGGGGCGTGTGATCTGGGTTAGTAAGATACAAATTTGTGGAAATAAATGAATTTGAAATGATTGTACCTAGAGATAATAATGAATGGGGGCAATTGTAAGGAGATTAAATGGATTTGGAGAAGGATCTTTTGGGAAAATGAGAGTTAATTAATTGAAGAGGGGACAGATCTGGAGTGGGGTGCAAGATAATTGAACATATTTGGGGTGTCCGATGGGCTTATTGTGTGTAATATTAAAATTCTGAATTTGCATCTGTACATATTAATTCAGATATGCAAAAAGTTTGTCTATGAGCCCATACTTTTAAGTACTTAGCAACACCCCTTGGAGCAAGTATGCTTTGGGGAGAGGGTGTTCATCAATGACCAGGCACTTACACCAGGATACATGGCATCAACTAGAGCTGAGGAGTTTACCAATAAAGGCACATCACCAACTGGGGCTTTATCAGAACGATAGAAAGGCCGTGCTCATCCACCTGTGACATTCCCAGTACAGTGTCTGAGCGCTCCCTGCACCTCCAACCTCCTCCCCAAATCCGTTCTAGAGGGCCTCAGAACAGATTTAGGGGGTGCACAGAGGACACAGAGGACAAGGAGAGGGTGAAAACATTCCCTGCACTATTGTAACTAATATGCTAGATACTGCCCTGTGTCTACATTTGCATAAATTTAGTAATATTTAACAGCTAAGATATCAACAGCAAGTCTGTTGAACCTTACCTTAGTGATGCATTAAACAAAGCCTGAGAACGGGGAAAAAATAAAAAATGTTCCTGAGTCTAGCAAATCAAGTAAATGGTTTTGCAGGAAAGCAGTCTATATCAATAATATTCTGGGATCTTAAGTCATAATTACTTTCTAAATGTTAATTAATTAAAGATAACAATCCCTCATGTGTTTGTAAGAACAAGACCCTCGGTGTAAGCTTTCCTGCTTTCCTGTACCTGTTTACAAAATACGTTATTTTTTGACCTCCCTGCAGGATTTTCCTCAATGTTTCCCAGAACGACAACACAGCTCTTCGCCGCATGAATCTGCGGTCCTTCCTCATGGCTCCACTGCAGAGAGTCACCAAGTACCCACTTCTGCTGAGCCGCATCATCAAAGCCACCACTGAGTACCACCCAGATCACAGCAGCCTGAGGGAGGCCAAAAGCCGCATTGAGTCCCACCTGGAGCACATAAACATGAAGACCAAGCAGGAAGGAAACTCGTGGACTTTGCGTTCCTTCCGCCAGGACAGCAAGAAGAACAGGGAGGTCATTAACATTGAAATGAGGGAAACCGCTATCAAGACTGTGGGCTGGCTGCGGGAAGAAACCCGCTTTGTGATGGAAGGCCCCTTGCAGCTGGCCCAGCCTCCTGATGGGCAGTGGGTCAAAAAGGGCAGCAAGACCTTAAAATTCCAGAACATGCAAGTGCTCCTCATGGTCAACATCAGACGCGCCTCTGAGTCTAGCTTTGAACCCGGAGAGCCAGGGCCTGTGAAAGATGCAGTACTGGTACTGATTAGGGACAAAAACAATGGGAAGTTCAGCTTGCTCAGGGAGCCCTTGAGACTCAGCAACTGTGTGGTCTCTGTGGATCCCGACTGCGACGACACGTTTGAACTCCTTGAGATCAGGCGGGAGTCTTTTGTCTTCCGAGATGGAGACAAGGCACGGACTCATCACTGGTTCAGGCAGATACGGAGGTACTCTCGGGAGCTGGGCTCCTGGAAGAAGCGGCGCAACGCCTTGCCCAACATCATGATAAGCGCATCGCACAATAGGTCATGAAAGGATCGCTGACTGCGAAATGACTTGGCTAAGTAAGCTCAGAAATTTCCTCACGACCTGCTTTGGGTTGAAGATCTCCTTTGCAACAAAAATTGCACCAAGGATGAACTTCACCTGGCCAATTAGCATTGGAGCTATCCGTAACGATGTCGTTTTCTACTGAGAATTGATTTGTGACGAGTACCACTTAAATAAGTGTTTCTCAAATTGAAGGAAAAAATGTGCCCCGTTTTTAAGCTTGTTAGATCTTCCATACAACCCAACTTAGAAACCTCATTGGGTGTAGCTACCTGGCTCCTACCACCTTTATGTCTGCTTTAGAGAGCCAGTGTGGTGTAGTGGTTAAGAGTGGTAGATTCGTAATCTGGGGAACCGGGTTCGCGTCTCCGCTCCTCCACATGCAGCTGCTGGGTGACCTTGGGCCAGTCACACTTCTCTGAAGTCTCTCAGCCCCACTCACCTCACAGAGTGTTTGTTGTGGGGGAGGAAGGGAAAAGGAGATTGTTAGCCGCTTTGAGACTCCTTAGGGTAGTGATAAAGCGGGATATCAAATCCAAACTCCTCCTCCTCCTCCTTTGCTCCCAACTGTGTGGTTCCTACACACACAGTTGCTCCCCTACCTCCGCTACTCCTCTTCTCAGCTGCTCCACAGCCCATGGTCTCTAGCTTCAGGTAACCCACAGCAGTCTGTGACTGACCATTCCACCCTTCCCTGTCAGCAAATCCATGAGGTAGACACTCAGATTGTGGGAAATCTTGAGCCTCTTTATAGACCTACTTATCAATAAGACTTACAAAATGCTGCCCCCTCTCTTGTAGGTGCCCCACAAACCCTTCTGGAGGCCACATTCCCCATTTTGAGAGGCATTGCCTGATGAGGTGATAAAGTGAGGGCCCCATTGAACAAGAACTGTCAAAAAGAGGCTGTCATCTTGAGAGAAGGTTGGTGGCCGACCCTCTGCTTAGTGTAACTGACTGAGCTGGTAGCAAAAAGGAAGAGTGTTGTTAGTTGGAAGACTGCCTGTTAAGTGTGGAGTGAAAGTAAAGCATGAGCTGTAGGAGTTAATCTGGCTAGCCAAAATAATCACTTCAGCACAACTTGGCCTAAGGAGAAATCAGAGGAGGCTCTTAAGTGGTAAGAGAAGTGAGATCTAGATTCTGGGTAATGGGAATCTTTTGCACATTTTGTAAATAGGTATAACAGTGAAGACAACAAAATGTGTGTTGTCTGTCTGAGGGCAAATAGGCTTTACCCTGTGAAGACTTGCTCAAGGGGGGCAGGGCGGGCCCTTCAGATTTGTGGCCTACTTGGGATGTTTTCCTCTATGGTAATTAGGGGTTATTGGCACCAGATCATGAGGAGCAGGTCTCTAGAGAGAAAATATTGAGCTAATATTGTTAATAATGTGGGGATCAGATAGGAGTGTGAGATGTCTGACACTGCATGATTGTGCTGGGAAAAAGGAATTTTGACCATATATGATAGACTGGTTTCATTGTGCATATATTATAACAGCATTAGGCAACATCCAGTCAAATTTAGATCAGTATTAACACAATAAAGGAGAATGTTTAGACAGTATAATTAGCCTCATTTCAGCTTGCTCTCCCAGGAAACATTTAATTCATCCATCTTTTGTTAGCTTTTCAGTTTTCTACTTCTACCCTCATGCCCACGTAGGAACCAGTTTACCGAGTTTTACTTTGCACTGAATGCATGTAACACGTAAATGGAAAAGGAAGCCGAAATATATTCAGAGTTCACTCACAAACATTCCAGAATACCTGTATAATCCTGTGGATAAGCAATACTCTCTCCCTTTACGGATCACTGGATTTGTTTGTAAATGGTTAAAAACCCATTGTAGAAATCCAAGGAATGTCTTAACATCAGAAATCGTTCTGAAATACGCTTCTGTTAACAAGGCTCAATTACCTCTTCTAGTTTGTGATTATTTAAATGATGTAATCTAGTGTATTTCAAAATTTTAATTAAAAAGGAATCTGTTACATTATTGTAGATTAACATAAAATGTTTTAATAATTATGTTTCCTTGCACTTTAATTAACTTCTTTTTGTTTTCCATACCAGATCACTCCTATCCTAGTGACACATGAGAATAATAATAAAAAAGAACTCTGTAGAATACTAGAGAACAAAATATGTGGCAGCACTTTTCTATTCTATAGCTGACAGGAAAAAACCTGTAAGAATATCGTTTAGCAAGATTTTCTGCACCAGTTGTGAACCCTTTATCATAGCCTTCCTCCCCAAATGGGCGCTGTAGAATTGCAGTGTCTTGAAAGAAGGGGTTTTTGTTAAAATGAAGAAAATATGATACCTGTACACTTAACAAGTTATTGTGAATTACAGGGTGCAGGCTTGTAAGAAACATACATAACAAAATCATAGACGCACAATATTAAAGAACAGTGTCTTTTATTTACCCACGTTAACAAAGGAAGAATTTACTTTTCAATTAACTTTCCCCCACCCATCCCAAAACGTAACCAGAAAAAGGCAAAGATTTACAAACAAAAGATACTTACAGCCACTAATATTGTAAAGTACAAATATTTTTCTTATCTTTTGGAGATGATATTTGTCAAAGGAAAAACTTTAGGGCAAGGGGGAAAACAGATCCTATACAGCACACAATATGAAAAATGCTCAGATAAAACAACACAGTATATTGCAGAAACAAATTTTGCACATATAAATGAGATTCAGAAGATGGATGTTAACTACTAATACAGTGGAGGTAGCACACACATGGAGGTGAAAGAAGAGTGATTTGCACCTGCACCCTACATACAAAAGCTGTGCTCCTATGCACAAAGCAACTCGCCTCCATGTACATGTGTTTAGGATCAAGGTAAGTGTCACCGTTTTTTGTTAAGGCCAAATGCATTCTTTGCTGCATGATGGACCAAGAACGTTATATAAAAAAGATACAATACAAAATGAAGGAAATGTGAAACAGGTCACTTAGAATTCAAAGGAACACAAACACCTTTGCCCTGTTACGTAACTACTTACCTCCTTGAAATCTGTGCTCCTCCCCCCACAAAAAAATCACCTCAAACATGTTCCAGGATTTGCTTTTTAAAACTTATATATATACCTGGAAAATGCCCCCAAGCAACTGTTCGGCCTCAATGACTATTTCACGTCTCTTCCCAAATGTAAAAATCAGCATGTTTAAGGATACAAATATATGTGTACTATATAATGGTGACTATTTGAAAACATACATTCCCAACAATATGTCTACTGAACTGATCATCCTAGTTCTGAACTCTTGATTTTATGCAGCAATCTATCTGATTTACACAGATGAGCACAAAATGGATGCTTTTTGACAAGCTGTTTACACATCAGCTGCAGCCAAGTACAGAACTTTTATTTATTACAAAGGAGCCCAGGGCAGCAGTCTGCATAAACTGTGCTACATGTAAATGACGTGGAGATCCAAAAAGGATGAGGCTTGAACAAAGGCTGTGACGCAGGGGGAAAATAATCCCCATACTTGGTTCTGCAGGGATAATGGGATAGCAACAGCTGTAGTTCAGAGATGACAGTTTGCTTACGCCAGGGTGACTTAGGACTCCAAGCAGTGCCTGCTAGAGGGGCTTGGGGGGGGGATGAGTGCTTCTGCTTGGACATACTAAACATTCCATTAGGAAAAAACAACAGTGGTATGCAGCTTTGTGGTTCCTCTAAACTACTGCTGGAGAGCTCAAGTTAAAGCTTCTCCTTCATTGGCAGCAAGACTGAGGTAATGATTGCTTCAGTTCAACAAGCCCTCCTCTATTTCTCCCCACCAGCATTAGCAATTGAGTCCTTGTTGAGCCCCCTGATGGACAGGTCATAAACCACCTCCTCTATCTTCTTGACATCGTACTTGAGGCCATCGTAGCGCTTCCTCAGGGAGTCATTCTTCAGGTTGAGAAGGCGGAATCCGGAATCCAACTCGTTGATAAAAGCAGAGATGCGGAGGGGACGGGCGTAGTCTCCAGCTGTGACACTGTTCACTGCCAACCTAGCCTATGGAAGAAAGCAGAATGGTGCAAGATAAGCAGAGGTGCACAGACCAAATCGGGCCAGGTAGGCCTTACTGGAGTCCCACAACAGTATTAACATCTGAACAGGGTATTCAGCACTTTGTCTTCCTTCCAGAGGATAAATTATACTGGCTTTTAGAGCATATTTGATGAAGAAGCCTCAATCTTGCGAACCTTTACTATTACTAGAGTCATATGCAACCATAAGCCTCCCTTTGCAGAAAAAGAGCAACTAGCAACTTCATTAAAGAAAGAGCCGTGGTATGTAACCTCTAGTTTTGTCCACGCAAGACCCTGGATATTACTTTCAGTCCAACTAGGTAAGTCATGCTGCATTAGTTCTAAAACTTCTCAATACTCTCTACTTACCAGCTCACTAGCCAGAGTCAACACCCCAGAGAGGTAATCCTCAATGTCCAGGTGAAAGCCTTTCTCTCTTTCAGATTCAACTGCAAAAAGAATGAACGGATTTGGATTCAACTCTGATAATACAAATCATCAGGGTTAGAAGACTCCAAAATGAAAGGAGTGCCAATTCAGGTTGGGCCTTCCTTTTAGGTTAATGGTTAGTTAATTACACCGATCAATTCAAAAACAATTCAAATATAAAATACTAAAAGTGTTCATCCAAAGAAAAAGTAATCTGAAACAGCACAAAGCATCCACGCCCTTCACACAGGATGTATACCCTGGTAGCCACCAAAAGTTCCAATATCAGTGCTGCTGTCCAAATGCCTGGGAGAATAAAAATGTCTTCACCTAGTGCCTGAAAGAGGACAAAGCCAGTGTCAGGTGAGTTTCCCTGGGGAGAGTATCCTCTAACTGAGGTTTCCACTGAAAAGGCCCATTCCCTCATTGCCACTCTCTGACATCTCTCGGTGGGTGCACACAGAGAAGTACCTCGGATGTTAATCTGAGACTCTAGGAAGGATTATAGGGTTACATATCTGAGCCCCAAATCCAAAGCGCCAAAGCTCAGTGGCTGACCACATTATTTACACGCAGAAGGCCCCAGGTTCAGCATCTCTAGTTAAAAGGATTTTCAGGTAGCAGGGCTCATGGGGAAAACCTCTGCCCAAGATCCTCATGAGTAGCTGCCATTTAGAGTCCACACTGCTGGAGTAGAGTTGCAATCTTAAAACATTTAGTAAGCCACGCTGAATACAAGTGTGGCTTCTTCAAAGTAATATATAGAAGCTTCATACAATTAATGTGTATACCTAATCTTCCCACATTCCCCTGTCTTTCACTGTGGACTTTCTACCTTTCCAGAGAGCCTGCAACGCTGCCAACTCATAGCTCTCAAGCAGTGCATATATGGACTCCTATTTTTTACTAACAGTTATTAATTTTTTCAGTTAAAAAAGGAACCTTGGCAGAGCTGAAGCAGAGGTCTAGACTTTATTTCACCGTCAAACTACGTCAAAAGGTTTTAGAAGGAAAGCTAAGTGACATGTAGAAGCTTTTTGACATGCCAATTTAGGTTAACATTTTACTGAATTCCTTAGACAGGGAGCCTTGCTAAAGCCAAAAGTCATTGCGTTTAAGTGGAAAAACAATTCCTTACTTCCAAGTATTTCTGTAGCAGCTTCCCGAGTCACTAAGGTTTCTGTCTCCAAGTAGACAACAAATGCTGCTAAGAACACCAAACGTTGTAACACAAATCTCCAATGTTCATTAAATCTGCATGGGGGGAAAAGAGAAAGAAACTTTAAACAGAAGACTCCTGCTGGATCTGACAAAATGCCCATCTAGTCCTAAATCCTATTCTTGTGGTGGTACAATAGCATCCTTCCCGCTTGTGATTCCTAGTAACTGGTATGCTGAAGCATACTGTCTCCAACAGTGGAAATAAATCATAGTCATCCATATAAAAATGATTGGTTTAAAATTGCTCAGTAACAAATGCAACTTTCTATATGGAAAAAAGAATAAAATATTATAAAAAAGACCACAAAAGGCAGGAGGAAAGTGGACATTTACTAACCTGTAATATTGATCTGCAGGGAACTTGTTTTTCAGAGAGGCCAACTGTGTTCTAACAGTACCAAAGTGTTCACGAGCCTTCTGACACTTCTTTGGTACTGAAATTAAAAACAAACAGCACTTAACCTCAAAAACAAAGGCTAGTTATTGGTTTTTGAGTTTCTTTAAAGAAAACACCCTTTAGGCATAGAACCATGAGCAAAGACAATACTGTGATACTTTAAAGAAACAGGTTTCTTATTTATTTGCTATCTACACCTCCCTCTGAAGAACACTGGGTTGTTTACAACATAAAAACACAAATGTACGCACTATAATAATGAACAACAACCCCAACAGCATTTATATATTTATTAAATTTCTATTAAGTTTGATTCACTGGATCCATCCATAGGACACCACAATCCTATGCATCAAAACTAAGTTCCATTAAGTTCAATGGGGCTAAGTGGATACAGGATTGAAGCCTAAGTTAGTCATGGTTTAGTCCCACTGAAATAAGTTCATAATGACAGGAGTGGTTCAGCTGCAGCAATAGGTGCTTGGAAGCAGTCACTGTCATTTACAGGGAAAGACTAGGTGGGTGGGTGAGTTAGGGTTCTGTGGATGCACTGGCAGAGGCAATCCAGGGCTCCTGCTACCTAGCTCGTCTGTACAGCCCTGACCTTCACACCACCTACCCCTTCCCACCCTCAAAGTAAATGGCAATGACTCTGCTGTGGGAATGTTATTGCAGCCGCTCTGCTCTACTGGGAGATTCATTCCTGCAACTGGGTAAGCTGTCAGATGAGTAGAGGTGTGGAAGCAAATGTGCTAGCACTGCCCACCCCCAATCCCCATGAATTGGAGGGTGGCAGTTTGAAGCAGGAAGCCTGCTTCTACTTGTTTAGGCTCCCCACACCTGGAGTGAACAGAAGGTAAATTGTGACTGAATAGTAATTCTCTGGGTGAGCTGAAGCAGATCAGCAAGGATTTCTTACTCAGATGTGTTTAACACTTGCAACAACAAAATGACCCACTAAATTGTACTGCTGAAATGGGGAGGGAGTGGATTATTGTGTGGAAAGACTGTGTGCTTTGCTTAGTTCTGGCCCTTAAAAAATTTCCAGGCTCTGAATTCTTTCATCCTAATAATATGTCTTTTGTACCAGGCTCTGCTCAAGCAGAGTAGAACCCACAAGCTGCCCTGCCCTGTCTGATAGGATATAGAAACCAGACTTGTTTTAAGATTTCACAACTGAATAAGACTTTGTTGACTAGTTAAGTGCCCAATAATAGAACAGTCAAATTTAGTCTTATAATATATTGTACATGATTCACTTTCCTGCATTTCCAATTCACAAAGAAACTGGAGTAGAAAAATGTTTTTCACAAAACACATAACCATTTCACTTTTACGTTACTGAGTGGCATCTTTTATCCTCATCTTCTGTAACCATCCTTTATGCATGTAAACATGTTTGTGACTTTTTTTTCTCAATAGGCAAACAAAGCATGACCTACTGTCCTGAAATCCAGACCCCTGGTGGACTCCTTGTAGCACTGTAAGAATTTCCCGGGCTGTTTGCTCCAGAGTTTGAACAACTTTCCTGATCTCCTGTAAACAACAATAAAATACTCAGAACATGATGGTACAGAAAAACATGCAATGTGTTAGCACAAAGCAGCTGTTCAATTTTGCCCGTCTTTCTCTCTAGTAAATTTCTAGACCTCTGGTTCCTAATTGGAGGCCCATGGACCCCAGGGAGTCCCAGTAATCCACCCGGGAGATCTGTGGCACCATTCACGTAACAAAAACTACCATAGGGATATCAATTTTTTTTAAAGTAGTGGGTCCATAGCTTGGCTTTTGAAAAACGGGGTCTGCACTACTTAGCTAACTAATGGTTATCTATGAGGCAATTAGGTTGTTACTATGATTCTGTTCATCATGCTGCTACTTGTGATGGGTCAGTACCCCATAGTGGATCACACCTTGACCCAAGATGGGTGGCAGTGCTTGCAATCATCACTGGTTGTTGTTGTTGTTTCTTTGTTCAGCTTTGACAAAGAATAGGTGCAAAGGAGAATAAGATCTTAAACGGTGGTGGTGCAGGACAGAAAATTTCAGCCGATGCAATTTCTCTCACACTTAGCGTAACAAGCAGCAACAACTAAATTTCCCTCTCCTGGGCCGTTATGTAAATGTTACAGGAGCCACAACAGATACACATTGAGCGGTTTTGGGTTTACGTGATAGAAATGGGTCCCATGTTTCAGGCATGCAGTTGTTAAAAGGGTGGCTCCCGCGGTTTGGAAGGTAGGAAAACCAAGGATCTATTCCCCGTGATCCGAGGAGCAGCGAAAGCGATGGAAGGGATCCCCGTTCCGAGCTCTGGGGAAGCGTCCGTGGTCCTTGCACCGGCGCGACCCTCTCACCTCGCGGATATCCTGGTCGGCCGTGAGCACCCCTTGCAAAGCGATGAACATCTCGCTGACGGACATGGCGACGCCGCCGAGGAGAAGCTGCGAGTCGGACGGGCTGCGGGCACAGCGCTCTGGGCACTCCCACCACTCTCCGTGCCGCCAAAGGGACGGGTCCTTCCACACTGCCGTCGCGGGGCTGCCCCGCTCGCTGCCTGACAGGAAAACGCACCGCTCTCGTGCGTGTCCCAGCCCCAGCCCCTAGGCGTCGTTCTTCGCAGGGCAGTCAGCCCCCCGTTAGCTTCCATGGGGGCAAGTAGACGTGGGCAGAGGCAGCTGCACAGCCTAAGTGGAGAGAGTAAACGGCTCCAAGGTGCTTACTCGTCGTCTTGGCCACATTTTACATATCGCTTTCTACCTGGGGGGAGCCGTATAAACAGGGCAGCTCTACGGGGGGGGGCGGCTTAAGACGCTGCCTTAAGTCGAGTCAGGCTCTTGGCCCACCTCTCCAGGATTTCAGGCAGGAGTGCTAAAAAATTGAACGTGGGACCATGCGCGCGCAAGGTGGGTGGCTCTAGCAATGAGGCCGCGGTTCGACAGAAGTAGCGGCTTTACATAGAAGTAGGTCCCACAGTGTTGGGTGGCTCTTGCAATATTCCCCATTGCAAAGGAAAAGCGATGCAAGGGTGGGTAGCTTTTGAGTTCAGCCCCTTCAGGCTGCAGTTCCTATACATGTTGACCTGGTATTATATAGCTCAGTTGGAGTAACTTTGCTGTTTAAACTGCCGCTTGAGCCTCCGTTATTAATGGTAATATATCGCCACGAAAAACACCCGAAGCTAAATGACCACGTTAGGACACGCTGTTTTAAGACAAACCAAACCTGGATTGCAGAACAACAAACCAGGCTGGGTCCCCGCTTTCCACCCCCAAAGCAGCTCTAACCCTTTTGTGGGGTATTTGCCTCTCCGGCTGCACGTGAGTTTATTGCTGCCTCGAGATGGCGGCTCCTTGTTAAATTCCAATTTGACGGATGAAATCCGTTCGCTGGATCGATTGAGCAATAGCCCTCCCCCCGCCTCTTGGTTCAGCTTCTGCTTAGTCTCTGGTTCAGGCTCAGCCGCAGCGAAAGAGAAGGGGGCCTTTCCCATGGCTGGCGCGGAATACGCTTTGCCTTATTGAATGAAATACCTTTTCGCATGTTTTATCTTAAATTAGCAGCAGCAGCCTAAACAACATCCCATCAGAATTCAGTACATATGTAACAACAACAATAATAGCAAGAAGAATAATGAATTTGGGAAGGAGGCGCTGCTTTCTTGGCTGGCAAAGATAGGAATCGCCGCCTTCATAACGCTGGTTTTTAGCTCCAGGTTTGGGATTGCGCGATCGTTGCAATTGACGAGCTGCGGGGTCGAAAGCGACGTCCTCTCTGATTTCTTCTAATAACAGAGGGGCTCAGGGGCTCACGGTTGACGTTAGGCGATAGCGAGGGGCCGCTCTCTCTTCAGGGGTACCCCTTTCTCCCTTTTGTTATTACAAGACCGCCAAAATGCCGGCCGTAATTACTGGGGATGGGGATAGTGGTGTGGGTAGGCTGAAAGTCTGGCTAGAATAAATATAACTAATAAAATCAATATCTCTGCAGAAGAGGGCACTGCAGCAGATGTAGCTTGCATGACAAGCCATGCTTCCTGAAATTCTATTTTTATACACAGCTCTTAAGAGTGCAAAAGCTTTGTCTCCTCTTGCATCAGGGCACTCTACATTTGAACACATGCCGATTATGTCAGCTAAAAGCTTGCTTTGTTCTTACAAGCCAAGAATCTTAGGAGCTGACTTTCTGTGCATCATGCAGTGACTGTACAACATATTCAGGAGTTCTTAATTCACAAATTATAATGAGAATGCAGTACTGGATCCAGCTACACTATCATTATCACAGTTTTGCAAGACATAATATTAGGGAAGCTATGTAAATGCTTAGCATTATCACCTCTTGAGTTAGTAGACTCCCTAGTATGTGAAATACCATTTTCTTTTGATGTCTCCTGATCTCACTGAGGCATCTTAGCTTTGTCACAGTGTTGAGCTGGGGCAATATTTTTACCTATCCGATAGTAATTGCTACACTGCACATGCCTTTGCCTTGCGAGTACAAAAAACACAGAGCATGTTCATACAATGAATACCATATTAGAGAGAACTGGCTTGTTTGGTTTCTAACCATTAGCCAATATTGGGGTCATGTAATGTTACCACCTGGGACGCAGGTGGCGCTGTGGGTTAAAGCCTCAGCACCTAGGACTTGCCGATCGAAAGGTCGGCGGTTCGAATCCCTGCGGCGGGGTGCGCTCCTGTCGTTCGGTCCCAGCGCCTGCCAACCTAGCAGTTCGAAAGCACCCCCGGGTGCAAGTAGATAAATAGGGACCGCTTACTAGCGGGAAGGTAAACGGTGTTTCCGTGTGCGGCTCTGGCTCGCCAGAGCAGCGATGTCACGCTGGCCACGTGACCCGGAAGTGTCTCCGGACAGCACTGGCTCCCGGCCTATAGAGTGAGATGAGCGCACAACCCTAGAGTCTGGCAAGACTGGCCCGTACGGGCAGGGGTACCTTTACCTTTACCTAATGTTACCACCTAGGATGGAGATATAGATCCTGAGCTTGAGTGAATTCAGACTGCATTCAACAGCTTTTAAGCAATTCATAGTACTAGAAAGTAACTTCTACTGATTTAAAGGGTTGCATCTGATAAGTCCTACTCAAAGTCTTACCCTATTATTATAGCCAAAGATGTCGTACCAATTTCACAACTCATTGTTTTTTTCTATTATCTGTTTGACATTAAATGTGTTGAGCCAAGTATCTGAACAGACTGTCACAGACCCAGATCCCATGTGAATCACAAGTAGTCTGTTGTGGATGTGCTGATAATTTTAGGTGAAGTGATCAGAAAACTAGTTTACCATCATCAAATTTAAACCAGGTTGATAGTTTCATGTAACAAAAGTCTATTTTTATGTGAAAGCTGTTGCCAAACAGAAAATCAGGTTCTTTACTGTGAACATTTAGGTGTGTAGCATGTTCATGCAATCTCTTGGGAATTTAAATTAATGATCAAACCTTGATTTTCTACTGTGTACTTCAAAATTTATTTTTAGTATCACAAATCTATGCTGTTGCTCAAGCAATGCTTTCTTTAATCATGACAAATCTGTGTTTTGCTATATGTTATGAAGTGTGCAAAGCTCCAATTATTAAGTCCTTATAATAGGAGAGAGAAAAGCTAGTCTCCATCCATGAATACATTGATACACTAGGGGGCAGCAAGTTTACCAGTTTACATACTTTCTGCACAAATTTTTAATTTCAGTTTTTTTGAAAATGGTACACATCTGTTTCTCATTCACAGCACGTTTTCTGCACAAACATAACTTTGGTAAAAAGAATTCCCACATTTTCTCCTAAGTAATACACTTTGTACTAGAGGGAAGTGTGCGTCTCAACAACAGCGCAGATTGTGGGTGTGGGAGGATCACAAAGTTGTTTGGGGAGCCTGCCAAGCTTCCAATCTCGCCATGTTATAAAAAGTTATGTTGCTTCAGGATCTCACCAACAAGGTGGTAATTGATTCAATGTACCTTTGCAGCCTCCAAATTTAAGGTGTTCATATATGTTCTCAAACACACCCTTCATCCAGGTTCTTTTTGCAGCTCCAACGGAATGGTTTTCTGGATTACTCAGTGTTGTAGCCAATATTAGTACTACTCAGAGTAAACCAGGGATGGGGGACCTTTTTGGACCAGTGAACTAGATCCTTATCTGACCATAACCTGTGGGCCAGCTTTGACAGGTGGGCTGGACAACTCACTTGGCAATCACTTGGCATCATTATGTCAAGTGCCTGACAGCCAGTTGGCAACTGGGAACCGCAGAACAAGGGACTTTGCTAATCCCAGCAGTGCCCAGCAGGTTGCATTGAAGTGGAGGGGGAAACCTGTTTTAGCAGAAATTTGAATGCAAACTGCTTGGTGCTCTCAGAAAAAGGTACACTCCTTTCATCCAACGTCTGAAGTGCACCATGCTCCAGCAAGGAACAATCGGTCACTCACTTTACACTCCTGATTGTTACTTTGTAGCCACATTGGTACCTGACCCAGACCTGACATCTTAAACGTCAGGTGTGTGGCAGGTAGGCCTGGTTTAAGAAAAGCAGCCTAGCAGGCCAAATGGGGAGGTTTGCTGGGCCAGGTTTGGTTCACAGGTCAAAGCGTCCTTACTCCTGGAGTAAACCCATTGAAAAGAATGGACATGACTAACGGGTCCATTAATTTCATGGACTCTGCTCTGAGTATAACTTGGTTGGATACAACCCTCAGGCCTCAAGATGGGTCCCCACTCTTTGGTTTACTGTGTTGTAGCTAATTTAGACCATTAATCCTTCTGGTATCAATTTATCTTGGTCTAGAAGAGATTCCACATTCTTCTGGCAATATAAAAACAACAATAATTAATACATTGCTCAGACCAAGCTGTGGAATGAATTTGCTGGCCCATAAGGGAGTTGCTTTGCTGTTGTAGTCTTTAGGCTGCCTAAGTTATAAATATGCAGCGCTTCCTTGCTAAGCACATGAGCAGAAATCTGGACACTTGATACTTACCCAAACATAGTTTCCATAGCAAGTGAACAGGCATGCTGTGTCATGACTTCTGCTTCAGCCACTCATAGGGAGATTTTACGCTCTGCTCATCCCATAAAAGCCCTTCCACCGAGAATCTAAGCCTATGCGCCATTACTTGTAATAAATCTTATTATCTTCCTAAGGAAACATGTTTAGGATCAGGGTAAGTCACAGTCTTGTTCAGATTTGGAGAGGGATGGTGGAAGATAGAATAAGGTTGTCAACTGTCTTCCATCATGGTTACTTAACAGGTGCATGACATGTCAAAATTCATTAATAAGGTTTCCCAGGCAAAGCTTCACTTGCATCATTTTTACTACGGGGGGCAGGGGAGAGAAATAAATAAAAACCTCTCAACTCTGCTGGTTGTATTTGCACACTTATAGACAGAAAGGTTAGCTACCCTTTTGCTGGCATATCTCGTTTGCCTTTAACAGTGCATGATGGGCAGAAAATTCAGTAGATGATTCTTCTTTGGCATAGTGATGCAGTGCAGGAAGGAAAGA